CGGGCATTCGCTCTCACGTGTCCCCTCTCTGTAACAAGAGCTTCCGTACTCCTCCTTCCTCATCTTCTACTCGAATCAACTTCTGCCTGCTGCTCATTTTACTGTGCCCACACCTTCCTTGTTCGACGCGGCGAGACAACGAACCTCAGTATGAGGCAGAAGTTCTGCGACAATAGTGACAAGCTTAAGTGACCGAACAAACTAAGTGGAAACTACCACCCAAGGTCACGTGTGGGATCCTCCCAGGGTCCGATCCTGTACGGTTTTCTGGGGGCACTGAAGTGCTCCCAATGCAGGTGTCCAAACCGAATCTGTGCCTCCCCACCCCCGTCCCCGTCCGCTTAAGGCCACGTTCACCACGGCCCCTGCCGGACACATGTGGCACCACCTGACCACGGCATAGCCTCGTCCCGGCCCGCCCGGCACACCACTGGACAACTGTAAGCGAGTCAGGGCACAGGGCCACGTCGCGGCTGTGGCCCGGGGCCAGTCCCCGGACTTGTGCAGGCTGTGCCCCCGCCTCTCACAGGAGGTCACGGCCGACTGTGGGCCATTACAAAGACCACAACTGACGCATGCGCCCGGTCGGGAGCCGGCGGGCAGCAGGCACCTGACGGACACGTCGTTCCCGCCTCAGCCCTGCTTTAAGGACAAAATGCCGACGGACGGGCATGGAAGGTCATAGTGTCACCTGTGCTCCACTCTGCTCGCTTTTTGCTGGGGCTGTTTCACTTCCGGGGCAGCATCACAGTGGCACCAACCTCCTGCCGGGCAGCCCTTCCCGTCCTAAAGCACCCACCTGGTCACAGGAGCACTCACCCAGTGTCCCCCAGCCCGGCACCGAGTCGCAGGCCCTCCCAGCCTCCCCGATTTCTCCTTCGAGGTCCCCTCCTCCATAACCCCTTGCGCCCAGGCCACCACACGTCTCTTTGTTGGTTTCCCAATCTCCCCAAGTTCCAATGCCCTCGACCCCATCTAGAATGTTCTACCACTCATGAGGCCTACTCATTCTTCAAAACATAACTCAAGTGTCATCTTCTCTTTAAATCCCCCCTTTGACCCTGGAACCTTCCCGGGCATTCCAAAGGCCTTTCTGCCTACTTCACTCACAGCACTTCCACACCGTGTGCCAACGAGGCGCTCTCGTTTCCAGCAGCTCCGGCCAGACTGGAAGCCCAGGGGCCGGGGACAGGCTTCTCTGGCGAGAACATTCCCAGTGCCTGGCACAGACCCTGTGCTCAAAACGTACAGGACAGCTTCTGCAACATGACCTCAGTATTGTCCTGTGGATACTGCCATCTTCAGGACTGAAAACTTCAGGACTGAAAGTGTCGCTGGTAACTTAAGGTATTTCTAGAAACTTTTTGAGATTTTTAAAATCCAATTAGTTCTAAAGCATATCTCAAAAATATTAAAAAATGCTGAGATAAAATTCATATAAATGCTCCCATTGAAAGATAGATCAGACCAAGTTTCGAGCAAAAAAAAAAAAAAATGGAATCTCTCTATATTAAATGTTTTAAAAATAAAAAAAAATTTTTTTAAACATGAGGATTTCTTTGACTGTGGTCCCATCTTCAATAGCTATAAAATAATATCTATCAAAAACAGTCTTAGTTAATGGTAAGGTATTTGAAGGTGTTCCTTCTACAAAGGTATGCTTAATCTTGGTTGAAAAGAACAAAAGCAGAACATACTTGCTGGTTTCAGTCTGATTTTCCTTTTAAACAAGTGAGTTTAAAAGATTATTTCCTATTTTCAAATGACCTGGACCTTTCTCAAAAACAGATTGTGCAAATTTACCTCCACTAATCATCACAAGGACTAACTGTGTATTTTATGTAACCCACAACTATTATCTGCAAAACTGTTATAAATGTACTTGACAAATAACACAGAAATGAAAAATAATCAGTCTGGATAACACATTTTGAATGTAACGCTTTAAAATCGAGTCTACGTCCGTTAGAGAAAGGAGACCGAGAAACTGTAGCATTTGGTATAAAAGAATGAAGCCTAATTCAATTCTTTTTCAAGAATGTTAGAACATGTGATTTGTGTTTTTTAAATTCCAAATATAACTGGCTGTATTTAGCACCTCCTGTACTTTCCAGTATATTAGATAATTGCACAGCAAGTTAAAAACAAAATAAAGGAAAACATTCCTGCCACCCTCCCTTTTCATAAAAGAGATGGAAATATCACACACACACACACCCCCCACACTGAGTACCTTATAAAGGTCAGTATGAATAGCCCCAAAGAAAGCTGTTTTTTAATTAAAAAAAAAAATTTGTTTTGAGGGTTTAGAGGACTCGGGGGCAAGGGAGAGAGAAAGGAAAACCGGGCTATTGCGGGTTTTGGCAGAACGGACAGGTTAGTGACCGCTGCCCCCGCTTGGCGCCTCGGCGGCCAGGGGCCCCGACCCCCACATAGGTCAGAGCGGCTTCACGGTCTCGTCTGTGTGTGCACTGGGTTTCTGAAGAAGACGTTGTCTGAACAAAGGTGTGTATGACTTTAACAAGCCTAAAACTTACTCACAAGGATAAACCGGTATTCAGTGGCTAGTACTGACATTAACAGCTAAACAGCAAACAAAGAAACACAAGTATTCAATATAGAAAAGTGGTTTTAAAAAGTGCTAACCGTGAAGAAGCAGGAAGATGGGGATCTGCAGTCGCTTTACCTTTAGGAATGTTTATTTCTGTTGCTTCTGATCAGAGATTTATTGGGTATATTGTTTGTGTAGGGAGGGGACACACAAGTTAAGCTTTTTCGACTTGGTTTTGGCAGGAAGACAATGGATGGTTTCAGCAAGGAACTGGCTGTGGACCCAGAGCAAACAGCTGTGGAAGGCAAGGCATGCTCCAGATGAGAGGGGGACATTACTGGGGGTGTTTGCTTAGGTGGCCGGGAGGGGCCCCCTGAATAATACTGGGGTGATACGTCCGGATCCCAGTTTGGAGATCCACGGAAAAAATTTTACCCTTCTGCTTCCTAGCATCTGAATCCTCCTGTGCCTCCATTTCCAAGCCAATTAATTAATGCCATCAAAGATCAGAAATTACCGTTTATCTATAGTAATTTATGAAAAAAGTCATTTCCTAAAAAGATCAGACTATAAAGAACACGATCCATCTCACATGCTTTGTTTTCTCTAATGAAACTGCCATCAAACCAAGGGCCTCTGTGCCTTGACAGGGGCCACGATGCAGGGAGACAGTTAAGACGGGCCAGCCTGTCCTAGCAACCTCTCCGTCGCCTCAGCCCACGGCAGTACAGGCTCAGGCTTCGACACAGAAGAGAACAAAACTTCAAGACCAACTGAGAAGACTCTGCTAAATGTTTCTGCCTTACCAAAATGTTTGTAGCTAGCGAGATGATGGGCGATCTTCGGAAATTACAAGAAAATGTAATTGAGTCTCTCTACATTAAGACTCATTAACTTCAAAAGATCCAGATCAGAAGAAAAAACATTAATTAGCATTTGCCTTTCGAAAGCCAACTATCGGACTACATGCTGATAAAAACAATCCTTTCCATTTAATTAAAAAAACCTGGATGACAAGATAAAAAACAATCATTTTAACCACTTCGATAGCATTCAGTTCCTAATGTAAGTCCACCGACACTCTTCTGAAGGTTGAGAAATAAAAATACTGCTCGTCTGTTTTAAACACAGCGAAGCCGAATGTCACTGTCTACATACCCCCTCCACACTCTGGTCCTTGGATTATGTGTTATGCAGTTGGCCTCTTCATGGGATGTGAAGGGTCACAACTCTGGTTTCTTCCCTAGGGTGAGACCATGACGAGAGAGGAGCAGCACTGTGCCCGCGACGGCGCCCACAAGGGACCCCCACCGGCGGCACTTCGACCATCCACACCCATGACTGTACACACCGGCAAGCGGTCCCATGCTATCTTCTGCACTTAGTGACACATCAGAAGCTCCAGAGGCCTATTTTCTCAGATCGACAGGATGTAAGAGCTATGTACAGATTATCTGCAGAAATCTTAATTTCCTCAAAAGATCTAACATAAACCATCTACAGGCATAAGAACGTAGTTTCGGCAAGATTCCCAACTGTCTTCTTGCTCTGAAATTCGTATCTGAAATAGACTAACACATGGGCTAGATAAGGCATGGTATAAATAAGGTATCTAACATATCTATGATAGGTTTTCAAACTCTGTACCTTCAACAGAATATCCAAAACTAATCTCTCTCCCCTCTTAAAATACACAAATTTTGTTGATAGCACATTCATATCATCGAGATCACTATACTAACAACACAACAAAGGCAAGAATAATTGTACTTCTATTGTTTTACATAAGACACTTACTTTCAGAATATAAAACCTATCTCCCCAAAGGGATAACCACACATTGGTGTATTTCGTTTTCAATTCTGTGGATCAAAATTAAAACACAGCTTATCTCTGATACCTATATAGTTTTAAATCCTGGGTTTTTACAGTGAATTATCTCTGCAGATCTTTAACCATCATCAAGTGTCAGAGGAAATGCAATTCATGGCTTGCACCACCTGAGGGCACTCCTAAAAACCTTTAAACAACTTTCAGAATCCAGTTCTTGCCTACTAGAATGAGGGAAACCCAGTCCTACTTGAGGCTCATGGGCTCAGTAGTGGCTTCAAAAACGTGTTTCAGAAAACACTTGTGTCTTCATACGAGGTGAGATGATAAATACATGTAATTTCTATCCACTGCACATTCTCTGAGCCTCACATCCGTGCAACAAAAGCTGAGGTTCTAGAGAAGAATGAGCATAACTAATTTACAAATGACAGGGTTACAAATTTACTAACTAACCAATCTCATAAGACTATCTTCAGGCTCTACGTTTAGCATCAACAAACAAAGTTCACCTTTCTGTGGAAAACAACAAAAATTCAAGAATTATTTCAAATCTATTTAACACATACACACACATGGCACCTCGGTTCAAGGAAATGAGTAAGCCTGGACACCGTACCTGTTTCCTGTGAATTCAACACCTCTAAGGCATGCATCATGGCACTTGCGAAGACATTGGCATCCTCCTTGCTGCCAAAGTTGAGGCCATACACCTGTCTGGCGTCTCGCCACTGGTGGAAGGTCTGTGTAGCTTGATTGTACTTCAACCCTTTAGGAATGGCACAGTTTATCACGACCTAAAAGACAGTAATTCCTTATAGAGTCAACCCAGTAAGTGGCAACATCAACAAATCCTGATTGGATAGACTCATTCAAAACTGGTCCTGATGGACCTTGGCCAAAACAAAACAAAACAAAACAAAACTGGTTACAACAACTATCAATGGTAAAATCAGCCTGTAAAAATAACAGTCTGACGGAAGTTAGCTGTCTGATGGTTACAAAGGTCTGGCCTTTAAACAGTAAATCAGCAGGACAAAAGAAAATCCATATCTTCGTTAAATATATTTTTAACATGTTTATTAAAGCATTATCGGGACGCCTGGGTGGCTCAGTCGTTTGAGCGTCCGACTTCGGCCCGGGTCATGATCTCGCGGTCCGTGAGTTCTAGCCCCGCATCGGGCTCTGTGCTGACAGCTCAGAGCCTGGAGCCTGTTTCGGATTCTGTGTCTCCCTCTCTCTCTGCCCCTCCCCCGCTCATGCTCTGTCTCTCTCTGTCAAAAATAAACAAACATTAAAGAAAATAAAAAATAAATAAAGCATTATCAATTCAGAAAGCATACAAAACGTAAGCACGTATCTCAGTGAACGTTCCCACGTAGCCAAAATCCTGATGGAGAAATAGGATGTTAACACCAGAAACTTCCTTCCTAAATGCTCCACCTCCCAAAGGCTCTAGCGCAGTTCCACCTGCCAGATCAGGCCTGCAGCTTTCTGAACTTCACGGCACATGACTCAAGTACAACTGTGTGTGGGCATCATCGGTCCGCTGCGAGCGGCTGTGCTTTGTCCTCCCCCGCTGCTGCTGCTCGGTGGCACTCCATCGTACAGACCATGCCTACTGACCCATCCTCCCAGTACTGGACATTTGGATTACTTGCAGTTCAGCGCTATTAAAAGCAGTGATGTCACGAACATCCCGCACGTCTTCCGTCTTCCAGTACGTGAGCGCCCACTCTGTCGGGCGTATACCCGGCAGTGGGGTGGTCACGGGCCAAAGATACGTTCGGCTTCAGCAAAAAACTCCACGTGGCATTCCAAACTGGGTCTGCCAATTTCCACTCCCCTGGCAGCATGCGACAGCTTGCACGAGTGCACAAACAACACCACGTTATTGGAACTGTATTTCTCTGATCACTAATGAGATTTAGTGCTTTTTCATGTTGTAACGGCTATCTGGATACCTTCTTTTATGAACACTGCTTTAATTAAATCTCTTGCCCGTTTTTGTACTGAGCCATCCATCTTTTTCTTTATTGATCTGGAAGAGTCCTTTATGTATTCTGAACAAGACCCCCGTTAGCTGTGCTGCAAATATCTTCTCCCCTAACGGTGTCTTCCGATGAATGGAAGTTCTTAACTTTTATTCGGTCCAAATTAGCCTTCCTTTCCTTTCACAGTTAATGCTTTTATAACCTGCTTAAGAAGTGCTTCTCAGTCCCAAGACCATGAAAATACTATCCCGTGTTACTTTAGGAGCTTTATCATTTTAACTTCCAGAGTTACATCTCCAATCCACCCGCAGACGGTTTAGGCCTCTGGTGTGAGAGAAGGCTCGAGTTTCCTTCCCAGGACGGCCGTCCAATCGATCCGGCACTATTAACTGTGCTTCGGGTTTCTACTTTCCACAAACCAGGTGGCTAAACAGCTCCATTTTGTTCTACTGGTCAGATGCCCACCTGTGAGCCGAAAGGAGAGTGTCTCCCTCATCGTAGGCTTCTCCCAAGCCTTGACTGCCGCTGGAGTGCTGTCCTCCTTACTCTGCCCTTCATCCTTCCAGGGCTATCTTCAGTCCTGTGTGCGGCCACGGCTCTGTATTCACACGATTCATTCTGTGTCGGTTATGCCATCTGCCAGTCTCTGCTTTTCACTGGAGTGTTCAGTCCACTTATGATGTTTCATATAAATTTGGGTCTAAATCCATCCTACCTTCTTTTGGACTTAATTATTACTACCCTTCTACTAGCTCTAGTCACACCGCTGTTGTGCTAGCGGCTGCCCTAGAGATCACAACAGGCACCAAAACACGACTGTCACATTTATGCAACAGCGGATCGCTTAGGATTTGCCCACATTTACACTTTCTGCTGCATTTTATTCCTCCTGCCCTCTCCAGGCTTCTGAGGGGACCCTTTCTGATCCCAAAAAACACGCTTTAGAACTTCAATTTCTTTCGATGCAAATCTCCTCGTGATGAATTCTCTCCATTTTTGTCAGAAAGTGTCTTTAATTCACCTTCATTCTTGGAGAGGATTTTTATCAGGTACAGAATTTAAGGGGGTCACTTGTTTTCTTCCAAGCCCAGTACCTTCCTAGCTCTTGCTGGTTCTGCACCACTGGTCAGCTGGGCAGTCAGCTGACCACTCTCGCTCGCTTCAGTCTCGTTTCCACTGGCAGCCTGCAGGCCTCACGCTGCGAGGCGTGAGCGTCCGGTGTTCGCGACGGGACAGGTTTAGATGGTTTTCTTTCCATTTACCTACTTTAGGTCTACAGCATCTCTAAGTTGACATTCTATTACAAACTTGAAAATTATTGTTCATGATCTCCTCAGTTTTTCTTCTGCCCTCCATCGTCTCCTCTCCTTCGGGCCCCCAATTACACACACAATTTCCACTATATTCACTAGGTCTTTTTTCCCTTAATCCCCTTCACCCCTTTTGCCCAGCCCCCCCACCCCGCCCCCCCCCCATTTATTCTCAAGATTTACGAGCCTTTGTTTTTTAGATTCCACATGTAAGTGAAATCCTATGGTATTCATCTTGTCCCTACCCTCCAGATCCATCCCGGTCGTTGCAAATGGCACGGTGTCTTTCTGTGTACCTGGCGGAGTAATCCTGTGTTGGTCATGTGTCCCAAATCCACTGTATCCTCGGACCTAGGATTTGGGCCTGGGTAGGGCCAGAGCCATGGCTGGGTTAGGGTTCGGACCCAGGAGAAGACAGGGGCCTATCCACCCACAGTGCAGAGACCTCTCCAGAGGGCAGAGTTGAAGGCAAGGGTCACAGTTTCTGTTTTAGGACTACACTGAGGTTTGGGTTAAGATTAGATTTTCGCTCAGGGGCACCTGGGTGGCTCAGTCGGTTAGGCGTCCAACTTCGGCTCAGGCCATGATCTCGCGGTTCATCAGTCCAAGCCCCGCTTCGGGCTCTGCGCTGACAGCTCAGAGCCTGGGGCCTGCTTCAGATTCTGTGCCTCCCTCTCCCTCTGCCCCTCCCCTGCTCACGCTCCGTCTCTCTCTCAAAAATAAACAAACAAACAAAAAAAGATTAGATTTTTTGCTCAGAATCATACTCTCCAGTTCCATCCATGTGATTGCAAACAGCAATGTCCTTCTGTGCTCCTGGCTGCGTAACATTCCACCGTGTACACATACGTCTCCTCTGTCCATTCGTGTGTCAGTGGACACCTGGGTTACTTCCACATCTTGGCTACTGTAAGTATTGCTGCAATAAACGTAGGGGTACATATATCTTTTGGAATTAGTTTTTGTTTCCCTGGGTCTCTTAAGCTCTTTTTTATACGCCCATGTTTTTCTCTCCCCGAGTGTCTTAGCTTCAGTCTGAACATTTTCTTATGATCCGTCTTCCAGTTTACGAATTCTTTTTAGCTGTTACTAATTTGTCGTCATAGTCATCACTGACCCGTCAGTATCAGTTATTCTTCAATTCTGAAATCTCCTTTGGTTCTTTTTTTCAAGCTGCCAGTTCTCGGCTGAAATTCTCACCTTTGTGCTATTTCCCTGAATATATTTAGTATTAGTTATTTTAAAGTCAATTTCTGATAATTCAGCTAACTGGATGGACTCCCAGTGGATCTGTTCTATTACTGCTCCTCTTGTCTCCTCATATGCCTGGTTACTTTGACCTAATGCCAGACATTGTGTGTGGACAACTGTATGGAAAGTCTGAGACCCACAATGATGCTCTAGTTTTCCAGGGAAGATTTATGTTTGCTTCTGGCAAGCAGCTAGGAAACTAACAATCTGAAGTCAACTTCATCCAACAGCGAACGAAGTGATTACAGGCTGGGTTTCAGTTCCCATAAAGGCCAGCCTCACTCAGAGTCAAACCTCTTCCCACAGGACAGGGCTTCTGGGTCCCACATCACAGCCTGGGGATTACCAAGAAAGCTCTCCCCTCATTAGCAGGCCCTAACTTTGGATTTTTGTTCTGCCGGTCCCAGGAGTCTGCCAAAAGCTCTGCTCAGTCCTCTTTCAAAACCAAGACATGACTCAGAGGTCTGAAGCTGGGCTCACTTCTCTGGGTCTCACTTCTTTCTGATCTTGGACCCAGAATTCTTCTTTGTCATGTAGGCTCTCCAAACACAGTTTCTTCTTAACATTCTGTCCAATTGTTTTAGTTCTCACAGAGAAGCTCTATGTTACCTCATCTACCAATACCCAAACTTGAAATTATTTTTAAAATACGGCCTTATATTATAAAATGTATAAAATATGAAGACCTTATACTAAGTGAAATAGGCCAGACATAAATCGACAAATGCTGTCTCATTCCACTTATCTGAAATACCTGGAAGAATCAAACTCATTAAAAAAAAAGAGGAAAGAAAAAAAGATAGAATGAAGGCTGCCAGGGACTAAGGAAGAGGAACACAGGGACTTCCTGTTTAACGGATTTGGAGTTTCAGTGTGGGAGGATGAAATGGTTCTGGAGATGAACAGGGGTGATGCTCAATACTGAATCGTACACTTAAAACTGGGTAACACGGGAAATTTTACATTGTGTGCACTTTACCATAATTTAAAAGAGGATGGCCTTTTGTCATGTGATGTTTATAAGCATCGAGGTGGGGGGCCACACACAAGCCATCCATAAAGGTGTAAGTCTCACCGCAAGGTGGGTCTGTATCCCTACTTGGCAATCAGTCTGAAAAGGTCAGACAAAAAAAAAAAAAAAAACAGCCACATTCACTTTTTCAATTGTTCAGTAACAGAATGTTAAGAGAAGGGGGGGAGATTATTACTTAAATCACATTATGTCATCACTGGTTCACTTTCTCCACTGTGAGAAATTTAACACGTTCATTCAATTGCTTCATTCATTTTTAACTTTCAAGGGTAGGCAGTGCCATACATCACCTCGAGAAACTTTATTTTTTATTCATTGATTTTATTTTATCAAGTAGGCTCCACACCCAACATGGGGCTTGAACTCATGGGCCCTGCAATCAAGAGCAGCGCCCTCCACTGACTAAGCCAGCCGGGCACTTCTCTACAAACTTCACAAGTAAGGGAAAGCCCGCGTGTTCATTTAACACTAAATGTTTGCTGGGTGTCCACTAGGGGCGCCCTCACGTCCAGACCTGACAATAACGCGCAGGTTATTCTCTAGATTAACGGTGACGTTCCATCCTACACGTGCTCACCCACTCCCCGCCGGACCCTAAGGAGCACACTGTGCACTGAACGCCTAACTCTTCCTGGTCTCCTTGGTTCAACACCTGATCTCATCTGCGAAGTCGTCCACGACCCTCTTCCCTGTCTTCTCAGCAAACATCCTTCTTGTATACCTCTCTGTGCTGCGAATGGCACGTACCAGGCTGAAACCACTCACCGCGTGTCTTCCCCCCCATTCCCTACTGACGCCCTCCTGCAAACCCAAGCACGGTGCCCAGAACACAGGAAGCACCAAGTGGGAAACAAAAAAAAGGGGGGGGGGGGGGGGAGGAGGTGATTTTTTAAACGGCTCTTACTACAGAAAGTTTAGACACTGTTTAATAAATTATAGTCTGTTTCAGCTTCACTGATAACCATTGAAAAATATAACAAGGTACTCTGGAAAACCAATTATTTATCAGATTTATTCTTAGGTAATCATTTTTGTTACTCCAAGCAATATCTTTATAAAATTATACAGCTGACCCTCAAACGACAAAGGTTTAAACCACATGGGTCTACTTACCCACAAACATTTTTCCAAAATAGTCTTGTTTACAGTCCTGTAAGTGTATGTTCTCTTCCTCATGATTTTAAGAACATTTTCTTTGCCCCACCTTACTTTAAGAACAAAATGAATAATACATATAAACTACAAAACATATGTTCATTGACTATGTTATTGGTAAGACTTCCAATCTAGGGGTGCCTGGGTGGTTCAGTCGGTGAAGCGTCCAACTTTGGCTCAGGTCATGATCTCACAGTTTGTCAGGCCCTGTGCTGACAGCTCAGAGCCTGGAGCCTGCTTCCGATTCTGTGTCTCCCTCTCTCTCTGCCCCTCCCCTGCTCACGCTCTCAAAAATAAACATTAAAAAAAAAAAAAAAAAAAAAAAAAGACTTCCAGTAGACAGTAGGCTATTAACAGTTAAGCTCTGGGGGAGTCAAAAGTTATACATGGATTTCCAACTGCACGGGAGGCGATGCCCCTAACCCCCAGCTTGTTCAAGGGTCAGCTGTATTTTCAAGTTGTTTGTTGCTAGTTAAACTGCTCTTACATCCAGCAACCATGATGAGCAATCTTACTAGTTCTCATATTTTATCTGCAGCTGCTCTTGGCATTTTTTATGTACTTCAGTGAATAAGGTCAACTCTGTTTCCAATCTGTATAGCTTGTGTTCCATCATATTCATGTCACTAGGTTACCTCCGCCTCTGCAATGCTAAATGAAAATGACGAAAGCTGAAATCCTCAACTAATTCCCGAGTTTAATGGAAATTCCCCCCCAATATTATACTATCCTGTAAGATGTGTGGTATAGGTTTATACAATGCATCCTTATCAGCTTAAGAAAACTCATTTTTATGCCAAATATAGTGAGATGCTTATGTACGGATTTTATCAAATGCTTTTTCTGAATCTCTCATTTCTTGCATGTTTCTCCTGGTAAAGGACATTAAAAAATTAGCTAATGTTCAACTAGCCTTACATTACTGAGATGGAGACAAACCTTATTTGGTTAAGAGGTGGTATTTTTTTCATATACATTGCTGCATTTGGTCCATGGATATCTTACTGAGGACTTTTGTATCTATGCCAGTGTTCATAACTGAGGCTGGCATATAATTTTCCTCTCTCAAATTGTTCTGTTTCAGATACCAAAATTGTACTAACCTCATAAAATACTACTCTTTAGAAGAGTTTGTATAAAACAGGTAACAACTTAAAGGTTTTTAAATTTTGTTTATAAATACTTTAGATTCCCTCCCTCCTTGGTTTTTAGATTTTGGGGTGAGACTATTAACTATTGACTGTGGGTCTGTCTTTCCATTATTCTGCCAGTCTTGGTCAATTGTATTTTTCTACAAAATGACCCATTTCTTGGCATAAAGCTGTTTATGGTACAGTTGATCTCTTTACCGTAACTATAATGACATCTCTTTTCCAATCCTACTATTTTTTGTAACTTTTCATTTTTTATTTGATTCTGCCAATTTTTCCATTCAATGAAACAGCTTTTGGGTTAATGATTTCTATTTATGTTTTTTATTTAGTTAATTTCTCCTTATATTTTTACTATTTCCTTCTGTTTTCTTTGGGTCAAGCTAGCCATTAAGATTTGTCCATCTGAGGGCAGCTTAGATGTGCCAGAGGTTTCTATATATCACACATCCTGTCACTCAAGTCTAAGTCTTTTATTTTCCAAACATTTTTTACTCTTCATAATGATGTGATTTTCACGTCATGAATTTAGAAGTGTTTTTAAGTTTCCAAACATTTTGGGACACCTGGGTGGCTCGGTCACTTGAGCATTGACTCTTGATTTCGGCTCAGGTCACGATCTCGAGCCCTGTGCTGACAGTGCAGAGCCTGCTTGGGATTCTCTCTCTCCCTCTCCCTCTACCCTCCTCTGCTCGCTCTCTATCTCTCTCTCTCAAAATAAACAAACTTTAAAAAAGAAAGAAGAAAGAGAAATCCACACTCCTTTGCGTCCTATGCTGATGGTGTGTGGCCCAGCGCGGAGCCCCACCCCGTGTAGACGGAGGTCTCAAAGCCCAACCTCCTGCAGGCCCACAGCGGCTGCACATCGACGACAGACCTGAGTCCGTAGCTATTCACGGTCCTTAACTGCCATCCTGAAACACAAGGCTGCTGCCGCACCTGTCTGCACACTACACCAGGGTTCCTGGCAGAAACCCGGGGACCGGCCTTTCCTTAGTTAAGGACTCAGCCGGAAATTTCCTATTTTCCTGCAGGGGTTTGACACTGGTCGAGTCCACCATCTTACCAGAACCAAAAGTATTTCATAAATCTGTCCGTTATACAAGTTCTTGCTGCAGTTCGCATATACTTGGCGTGGTGAGGCCCCACCCACGTTCCCTCTGTCTACCACTGCTCGCAGTCCGCTGAGACCCCAGACATCACGTCATCAGGTAGTGCAGTCACCTTTCTGAGAAATCCGGAGCAGGGAAATAGGCAAGGCTTAGTTTTCATCCCAGGTACAAATTACAAAAACCCAACTATTCCAGCAATCTTAAAATCTACAATGTTTCCATCATACGTGAATTTACAGTATTTGCTGAAATTACTAACATTTTCAACTCCCTCCTCTAGCCCCACACCTTTGGCAGGAAACGAATTCCTTAAACACACAACCTGCTATTTAAGTGGTATTTCACATTTTTTGGGTCCTAAGTTTACCTTAGATTCCCAAACCTAGCTAGCGGGAAAGCCCGAAGATCTGACGAATGTTCATAATTTAAAGTCCTATTTGTATTTTTGTACAGTTAGCTCTAAATCCTCATCCATCCGAGGTGGACAGGGTGGGGAGGCAACCCCGTCCCAGTTTTCCCACACGGAGCAGGCTGGCTGTAGTTGCGGCCAAGAGCTCCCTCAGGGTGCGGACTACTTGACAGTCCTTCTGTAACTCTACCCAACTTTCACTAGAAGGTAAGAGACGCTTACCTGATGGTCCTGAATCTTCCTGCCCACCACTCTGAACGTGTTGTTGCCTGTATGGTGATATATGTGAACTCTGCTGAACCCCGTTGAGCCACCAGCTGGCACCCACTTCTTGTTGGCATCGTCATAAACCATCACAGCAGCTCTTGCCTGACAAATACTCTGTTCACTGTAAAAAATAAAACACGCAAACTTAAGACATTTAAAATATGCTAAGTTTCCCATTCAGCTCTACAAACCAGAGTGAGCCCACAATTAGTGCCTCACTGGCTGCTAGAACAACGGGGAACATGACAGAGGCTTCCTGCCTCGATGGGCAGAGTCTAAGGGGGCAAAAGAGACCAAAAACTGAAGTGTAGTGTGGGACCGGCGGGAAGTCAGGATCCACGAAGAGCACATAAATCAGAAACACAAGAAATGTTTTCTAATCTAATACACCGAGTATCTAATACATTCGTCAAACTGAACACAACCACAGATATAAATTAACCGTCATCGTTCAACTGCACGTATGTTTATAATACTGGTGACCTGCGATTACCCACCCTTTACTGGAAAGGTGATTCTTACCATCGGGCGCACTGCAAGGCCAACGTAACAAACTCTGACCACTTCCATCCGGTCCGTGAGATATGGAGTGGCCGCTAACAATCAACTGATGGCAATGTGACTTAAGTCCTGACTCCACGCGGGCAAGACAACATCCCATGTTCATTTAAACATGCGAAGGTAAAATGAGATCCTTTCTAAAGATCCCTCGAGATTTTAGATTCTAACCCTCATAAGTAAACATTAAAGAAGAAAAGACTAATTTCCAGGAAGGATCTTTAAATCTCAGTTTCATTCCCATTATTTGTTACCAAATAAGACTGAGATACACAAATAAAATGTAAAGATGATCCTAATTTCATATTATGTGCTAGGTTCATCTTTTAAATATTCTATACTACTACTGGGGAAAAAAGGGCTGATTTGAATTTTATTACTTCATACCATATCTTATTTTTAAAAAATCAAGTACCAAGAGTGGGTAACAGAAGAAAACAGGTACGTTATGTTAGGCCACACCAATTAAAACGACTCAATCTCCATGTCCAAGACTTAGCTGATGCTTAAAGCCGAGACCAGTGGAGGTGCTCCCAGTGGCTCAGCCAACCTTACCCTTAACAAAAGTACTGCCCGTTCTACCAATTTTAGCCTCAAAGATTTTAAACAGTTATCAGTGTGGGTTCTTGGCCAATATCCTCAAAAACAAGTCACTCTCAGACCCTCCCCTCTTACTCACACCTCTGCCCCGTCCCTCAATAGCCTGTGTTTTACTCTTATCATGTGACGTGATGACAGAAGATCAGGGGAGACCCACTGGAGTGACAGCACTGAGCGATACGGTTGCTTCAGAACAGCGAGGTCATCACTATTTCTACCTTTCCATCAGAGAAACTTTACAAAAACGAGCTCATAACAATACGTGTGCAGCACAAACACTGAAATAAAGTGGTACTGTCTAAACTTCCATGCTGCACTGAAGTTTCTCGGTAAACTAGTTCTGGGAATGAAAACAAGTTAATTACAAAAAGTGTGAGTTATTTCTAAACGCCTAATTAAAGAGCACCTGTCAGCTCAAAAGTTGAAATCTCTTCATGGCTCACAGCAGAAATACTTGCCAAGTGACAGCATTTACAGGGCCCTGCACAAAGATTATGTGAAACAAGCTTAGGCAAAGTGCCCCTTACAGCATACAATCCAAGACACAAATCTACCATTAATCGTAAATAACAAATCTGTAAATTAATACATAACAGTATTTTCCCATTCTCAAAAATTAGTATTTCGGGACATATGTTTCCTAAGGTTCAAAATACACTATCTCCTCCAGAAGTCCCAGCAGGATCATATAAGCCAAAGCAATAAACCCCCATTTGTTGTATATTAAATCATTCCATGCCTAAAAAAAGTGTTTGTTTGTTTTTGAGTTTATTTATTTATTTTGAGATATATAGTGAGCAGGGGAGGGGCAGAGAAGGAGAGAGAGAATCCCAAGCCAGGCTCTGCGCTGACAGCAAGGATCAAACTCACAAACCGTGGATCATGACCTGACCCAGAATTAAGAGTTGGACCCTCATTCGACTAAATCACCCAGACGTTCCCCCCACCCCAATTTTTTTAATACACGTAGGAAATCTAAAAGCAAGAGATGCCCCCACTTTTACCTCCATTTTCCTTCCCCACTGCTCTAGAATGGGTTTCTGGAGACATTCCAAATACTGAAGCACACAGTTGACCAAACAGCTTTGACTAATCCTTGATTAATCAAGACACATACAAACTACTTAGCAATCAAATGTCTGATCACCTCCATTTCCCTGGGAAAGCTACAACCACAGAAACAAAGCCAGATGGACACAGCCAGGTAGCCAAGGACAAAAATGCAAAAATTAGTTGACTAGTTTCCTAATGAAGATGAAAGCAAATCTTCAAAATGAGATGTCAAAAATATAAATCCAGCTCTAAACGAAGCCAAGAAGCACCAAGAGAAGCCAAGATTAAAGAGAAGAAAGAGAAGCGGGGAACAGGAACACGGCCATGTGGCAAAGCTGTAAGGGACAGGTTATGCCCAAATAACCCTGTCGTCCTGGAAGCCACCGGGGGCTCAGGGAAGCCACGGCAAGGCCCGGACAAGAAGGGATGGCACTGACCACTGGAATTCTTAGTGACAAACGCAAACCAAATCTTTCCAGTTCCATTCCACAGCATTGGAGGGCCTGTCCTCACTGGACAGACGTCTCTGCCATTATAAACATCCCTTGGTCTGTGCCCCAGTTCCAGGTAAGGGGCTCCTAAAAGCCCTGGGATCTCCTGGGCGACAGACATGTCTCTGGTATGCTAATAGTGGCTCCATGCTTCAAGATGGAGGGTGGCTGCCAGAAATACCCAGCCTGCTTAGAGGGTTGAAATTTTCAGTTCCACCCCAGCCCCCACTTCCGGGGAAGGTAGAAGGGCCAGAGACTGACTTCACTCACCAGTGGGCAATCATGTCATCACTCACGCCTACATAACGAAGCCTCTATAAACACACCCAGACAAGCTTTACCCCGTGGTGCTGGGAGGGTGGCAAGCCGGCAGAGGGCACGGGAGCCCTGTGCCTGCCCCAGAGTGTGTACTATGCAGTTTTTCCACCTGACCGCTCCTAAATTATATCCTTTATTTAAAACAAAACAAAGAATAGTAATAGTAAGCCGAGCAGTTTTCTGACTTCTAGGAATTATTCTAGCAAATTACTGAACTTGAAGGGAGGTGGTGGGAACAGCAGAATCTGTGGTCAGCTAGGCGTTAAATGTGCAGGCAGCCCAAGGAGCCCACTGGCTGCTGGTCCCTGAAGTGGGGCCAGTCCTGGGGGACCGAGCCCTTAACTATGGCACCTGCGCTAACTCCAGAGGGTGTCAGAAGTGAACTGAACAGGGACACCCAGTTGGTGCTGGAAAATGGAACTGGCGGTTGGTTGATGCAAGAAGAAAACCACACAGACACCAGCTCCGATTAAAGGTGAGCATAAAATAGGCCAGTGGTACCCAGTTTTGGATTTCATGAACCCACAGACTTCAAAAATAGACCGGATGGATCTACAATCGGCTGACACAATTTTGGTCTACTTTCCAGGGAGGAGATGGGGGGTGGGGGGAGGGAGGAAACATCACAGCAACTTATTAAAATGAGGATATTCTGGAACTTAAAAATCTCAAAATAAAAATCATGCAATGTAATAATGTAAATGTAATAACTAGCTTTCTATACAATTCTCTAGAACACAGTCTATTTTTTCCCCATTTCTCCCTGGTCCAGTGAAATACTTAAAAGGGTCTGCTTTCAAGTAGGACTGGCCTCAGTCACGAAAGAACTGCCTATACGTGGGTGTATATATGAGCAATGGAGAGTTGACAGAAACAGCTTACAGATTTTTCTGATAGATTTCTAGCTTTCTCTAGGATTTTAGCTGAGAAAACGAGTAAACTTCCAACTTGCTGAAATTATATACATACGTGTGGTTTTTCAGGGAAAAGTGAAAGATTTAAGTACCAAAGCTACCGAAGAGTCAAAAAAAAAAAAAAATTAAGAAGATGAAGATCTAAACAAAAGCAAAGCAAAAGAGACAAAAATTTTATGACCCTTCTAATACCATTCTATCTGTGTTATACTAAGCCTCTAAAATAAACACCTAGTCGAAGTCAACATTCTGAGTCAGTAAAGGAACTGCACATAAGATTAATATTAATATTAATATTTTACTAAGCTACAGTTTTGTGAAGATGAAGCACTAAATTAGTTATAAATAAAAATTTCAGGGGCACCTGGGTGGCTCAGTGGGTTAAGCGTCCAACTTCAGCTCAGGTCATGATCTCACAGTTCGTAGGTATGAGCCCCACGTCGGGCTCTGTGCTGACAGCTCGGAGCCTGGACCTTACTCCGAGTTCTGTGTCTCCCTCTCTCACTCTCTCTCAAAAATAAACATTAAAAATTTTTTTTAAATTTCATTTTATGACCAAATGCATCAGGAAGATATTTCATCTTCCTAATATTAATTTTGGTATTTTAAAAACCATGGTATAAAAACCATGACACTACATTACAATTTTGTGGCTTCACCAGGTAATTCATTTCTGAATACAGCCGAATTTCTGGGACGAAACTACATGATGGTAGAGAAGGCATGCCAAATTCTATTCTCATAGGTCCCAGGGTTTAAACAGCAGACTAAGGACTGCTGGGTTACCTACACACCACTTACTGAGGTTGCCATAAAGCCCAATTTTTGAAAACAGCAACTTCTCAAAGACACCACTCGTTAGTCATTAACTTGTCAATAAAGCATGACTATGACAGTGCCTCGCACACAGTAGGCGCTCTTTGAGTGCCTCATCAGTGCAGTTTCACCCAACAAAATCCTACTCCTCAAGGCCTGAATCAAGTATCATCCCTTCTGAGAAGTGTTTCGGGGGTCCCGCTGAGTTGCCGTAGCATTCGGTGATCTTTCAACCAGGACGGACTCTGAGATGTTTGAGCCACAAGAGGGGGCCGGGATTTTACTTGAGGCCTTTAAGCAGAACATGACTTCTGTTTTTAAAAGCGGACCAGGGGCGCCTGGGTGGCGCAGTCGGTTGGGCGTCCGACTTCAGCCAGGTCACGATCTCGCGGTCCTTCGAGCCCCG